GTGAGTCCTATATCAGGTTTTGCCACCAGAGTCTGCAGTCATGTCATAAAATTGTAAAGCATCTAGACCTTCACCAGCTACACAGGGTGGTTTAAGTTCATTAAAATGAAACAAAATTCGAGACCAGCAGATGGCGTAGTGGTTACATTACTAGACTCCCACGTAGTTGAGTCCTGGACCCGGTGGCTTAAAAATCACACTGGACATGTGTGTGCATGCCCAAAATACTGAGAGAAAAATGGAGGAGAGGGACCAGCAGTTAGCGTAATGGCTATGTCGGTGGACTCCCACGTAGTCAACCGCGGTTCGCGTCCCGGACCTGGTGGCTTAAACTCACGCCAGGCGCATGTGCTTGCGTGCCCAAGATCCCGAGAGGAGAATGGAGGAGAAGGGATTGCCACCCTCCCTGGGCAGGTGATTTCTCGCTTGAAAATCACACTGAATGTGTGTGAATGTGTGCCCAAAATCCAGGAAGAAGAAATGGAGGAGAAGGGATTATGGCATGGCCATCCCCTTGGGGGGTGATTTCTCGCTTTCTGTCTCTGTCTCTCTGGCAAGTACACGTGCCCTATTATAAAAATCTCTCTCAAAAAAAACCCTAAGTGAACAAAATTTAAAATTTGCTTCCTCAGGCCCTGTTTTAGTTAAGTGGTTTTTGGCCCTTCTCACTCCTACATATTGCACTTTGATTCTTCTGGCAATTCCTCTGTGACACCTTGCAAGTTAGGTGTGTCATCATGACCCTTTCTGTTGGCATCTGCCAAAAATAGCAAACCCATGGATTCAAGGGCAGCCTTCCTGGCATGCTGACAGCAGACACCTGAGGAAGCCAGGTTATAGTGGCTGTAGGGTAGGGGGGAGGTGCTTAGAAACCGCTGCTCCCACCACCATCAGTCAGGTGGGGAACCTTTTCCTGCTGGGGCTTTAGAAGCAACTGGCCTTCTGAGAGGCTAAGGCCCTTCCTTGCCCCAGGCAACAGTTTAAGCTGGTCTACACTTGGTAAAAGAAAAAAAAAAATAGTTGGTTACTTCAGTGAGTATTTGCAAAATGTTTAAGAAACGTTTGACATGTTTTATATATGTCAGCGGATTTGTGTTAAGAAGCAAAAAGAAGCATTCTGTCAGAGAAATCAGATGAATAGTGTCAGACAGCGAGGAGGGTTTCTTTAAAGAAGAATTAGGCATAATGTTCTGTACTCACTTAGAAGAGAAGAAAGAGAGAAAGAAAGAAAAAGAGAGGGTAGACGTTGGCTCTCCACCCAAAGTGGCGCAGCCCAGGCTGCCTGAATGTTATCTTAGCAGATGAGTCACTCGCCGGTTTGTTTTGTATTTATAGCAGCACAGCAAAGTTTATGATTATAGTTATGAAGCCTTGGCAGTTGGCTTTGTGCTCAAGCCGGCTGTGCTCTTTTGTTACTCCTAGAGCTCTTGCAGCCATTGTGCATGCCTTTCCTTGCTTCCAAGTGCAGCCCGCGTTCTGCAGAAGAGTAAACTTGCTTCATGGCAAAAACAAAACACAAAGAACCCCACCACTCCCACCCAGATGAAAGGGAGGAGATAGTCCCTAAAATGAAACTGGAGGAGACGAATTTTACAGCAGTGTGGGGTTGGTCGTGTTCATTAGGACTGATCACAGCTGTTTTGGTAGGTCACAGGCGTGGGACGCTCCCCACAGTGAGAGGGTCTTCA